CTGGGAGTCCGAGATTTCCGATGGTTTTTCCGTCAGGCTGCTGCTCTCTGCTGGGATGAGGTCGTTGTATTTCGTGCTCACGTCTTCATCGGAATAGTGGAGACTTCCGGGGCTGGGTCTTGGAGGTGACCTGGGGAAAAAATAATAATAACAATTTTAATTTAAAGGGCCTGTATCAGTTTTTCCCTTGTATGTGAACAAAATGTGCCATGCAGAGTGTTGCATAATCAGCTCTCGAGGCCAAAATTGTCATGGCAAAACTCTGCATGGGTCTCTGAAAAGCACTTATAAACTCATTGGAGTGCATAATTAGGATGCTTGGAATGGGTAAAGTAAGAATTTTGGACCACTGCAGATTGTTTAAAACAGGGGTCTCCAAACTGTAGCTCAGTAGTTACCAGTAGCTCTCCACCCCCACCAGTAGCTCGCCCAGGGATTTCTGAATTATAAATATTGTGCTGAATAACTCAAATTTGATTGATTAAATGCCCTATTTCCTTTGTAAATGTATCATTTTTATTCCTAATTTTGTGCCCTGATAACTGGATAATGGTTTATGTTTTATAGACATCTAACTGTACCTCATTTTCAGTTTATCACATCAAAAATAAAATTTATTTGTATAGCACATTTAAAACGGCCAAAGCTTACCAAAGTGCTGAACAATGAAATAAAACATACAATTGACAAAGCAACGACAATAGTATATATATATATATAAAATAACAGCAAGGTGCCAAGGTGTCTCTTCCTAACTAGACAAATGTCAGGGAGAAAAAAAAGTTTACCATGGCTCTTATATTTACAAAATTTCTGGCGACTGCTAAAACTAGTAGCTCTCTGGCATTTTCATTTTACAAAAAGTAGCTCACAGGAGGAAAAAGGTTTGAGGCCCCTGGTTTAAAATGAAATATGATTTTTATTTTTTTTCACGTTTTCAAGACAGTAAAAATCAGGTACAGTACAGGTAATTTAAAATGTATTTTAATATCAGTTTTTGTTTTGTTTTTTCAAAGAGAGAAATAAAAATATGTGTAAATACTAAAACTTCCTAAGATGTCTGTGTAATCCCTAAGTCAGACATGTCAAACTCAGGCCCGGGGACCAAATTTGGCCTGTGATATAATTATATTTGGCCCGCGAGATCATATCAAATATGTATTAGAGCTGCCCGCCGGCTACAGATAGACTATAGAGACATTATTAGAGAGAACTATAGACATTATTTATTTAACATGTTGTGATTATTTTATTTTATGCTTGTTCTGGATTCAGTGTTTAAGTAAAACTATTATTCAACATTTCTTTTAATAAGAAAAGGTTTAACATTATATATGACATGCAGATGTTGTGGAAATTTTTCAGTAATTATTTAGTTTGGCTCATGACTTAGTCCCAGGATTTAAGTTTGGCCCTCTGTGAATTTGAGTTTGACAATCCTGCCCTAAGTCATTCAGATAGTTTCCAGAACAAAAGAAAATTCAATTCTGTCACCTGAACAAAAGACACTTTAGGCTGTAAAACATCCTAAAAAACAATGAAACAATAAAATGAATCAGTTGCTGGTGTAGGTCAGAAATAAGCCTTATTATTTTTCTATCTCTGGACACTTCATATCTACTCTGACCAGTGTCAAAGTGGTTACAAGTGTAAGCAATAAAAAGAACACCATTTTGTACAAACTTTTATGACTTGCTCGAGGTCAAAACTCCTCTGCAAAACACAACAAAAACCTGGTGATTTTCAAGGATTATGAAACCAAATGTATTGATGTTGATGCCTTCTGACTTTGCGGTGTAGTTTGGGCCTATACCTCAAAACTGTAAAAGTAAAAAGAAAAAAAAAAAGAAAATCAACATTTGCCTAAACTTTAAATTATGCTTAAAGGTGCGCTATGTCACTTTTAGTTGGGGGTCCTTAACCTGCTTGTTTCTATGGATACAGTATGTCATTGCTCTGCCTGGAATGTTCCACAGTGTGACATTAAACAGCTCTACTTTACATTTATTCCATTACAGGTGGTTTTATAGCTCAAAAACACCTTCAAAAACAGACATTCTGACTGTGAGCGGGGTCGCCTCTCCACAGATCTGACCTGTAACTTGGTCTGGTTTGGTCTCCATGAAGATAGAAAGTTTTAAAGCCACACTGTGAAACATTCCAGACAATCTCCATGGAGAAAAACATTTGACAGACCTCCAAAAGACTTACACACGTACAGTTAATGTCAGATCAGATTTTGTTGTTACGATTATGGTGGAACAAATTATTTTAATTTGAATGATTTGATTTCATTCAATTTGAGAAGAATAAATGTCACTTACTGCTAATATTTAATGTTTAACCATGCATTTTGAGCAGTGCAGTGTCTTTTTTTAAAGGTTAAGATAAAACAATGACCCACAAAGCCTAATGTTGTTATGCCAATATAGTCCAGTCCAGGAGGAGGATGTTACACTATGAGGGGCCACGATAGTCCCCTGTATTAAAAGAAAACACTGGCCAGCTCATATTTAGGAAGATTTGATCATGCGCTGTTAAAAATGGCAAAACATTCCTGCACAATGAGTCATGAGAAAACCACTTACAGTAAACTGATTTGGAAATAAAGAAGTGAAGAAACACAGTAACGGACCAAATAAAACATCTATTTTGGTGCTTAATGAATAGGGAACTGTGTAAACTGTGCAAAATGTGAAAATGTGCAAAATAGAAATGGGATTTTTGGCTCCTTTGTGGGATCCCAATGAAATTCAAAAGACTGGCTCTTTTACTTTTTATTTAAATGACAGAAAGGCAAATGGGAGGCCCCTTTTTAAGTACAAACTAATCACAAAGAGGAAAGTCCAAGATATATTTAAAATGGTTTAAACCGTGAGTGGGAGTAGGTTTACCCTTTGAAATTATGCATGATGTAAATAAAACATTGCACTACGATAATAATAATTAGAAACGAACTGTTATTGTGACGCTAAACGTGTGTTTTTTTTTTGTGCACACAGCTCTTACTCGTGTTTCCTACTCTGCTTCTGTTCTGATTCTTGTTTTAGTTCGGTGTCAATTAATGTAAAAATGCATAAAAATCTGAAAGAAAAAGATTTGGTTCTTTTAAAAAATGAGGTGCACTATGTAACTTTTTGTTTGAGGATGCTTGTTTCTGTGGAGATGTCCTTGTTCTGCCTGGAATGTTCCACAGTATGACATTAAACAGCTCTACTAGGCCTGTAACGATAGTCAATAAATCGATTAATCGTACGGTAACTTTTAACGAGCTTAATAACGTTTCCAACCACGATAAATTCTATTTGCGTGCTTGTTTATTTTCCTCTTCTCTCTGAATATCAAAAGGCTTCTGTCGCTCTCTGACTCCTCTCGTTTCCTTAGCGTAATGACTCTTGAATGAACGTGCCAGCATAGACTCTATAGGCGAGTTTCATTGTTGACATTGTTGCATTGCATGCTGGGAATTATTTTGGTCGGCGGCAATAAACACGTGTGACGGACGGAGAGAGAAAGCACGTAAAGGGTATTGATCCCGGTTATTTATCCACTCTAACGGCAGAGGACCCAAGATGATTTGACCAGAAATTGGTCATAAGCATCGATGGACGCCAAATCACCCTTTTCAACCCCGACAAAAGGTGGACGAAACCAAATTTCTGGTCAGAATCGCCAACTACCTGGACAAATATTCACTTCGGCGATATCCACAATGACTTGGTGGAAACTCCTGGGCCATTCACAGCAGAAAAGATGAAAACCTCCAAGAGTCTCGATGCGTTGTTGAACTTGTTGGAGTCCACGGTTTGTTAGGATCTTCTACGTTTGCTCTGCGAATGTTTGAAAGCCATTTAATTCACCGTTAGCGGTTCTTTTCACTCGGAATACGAAAAAGACATTTTCCTTCTTCCGTGCTTCTATTTGTGCATCCGATAATGCAGCAGGAATTTACCATTATCGGGGATAAATATGCAAGGTTACGCACTGTGTTTGACCGCTATCCTGTTTCTTGCCTCTGACCAAAATATTTCCCAGCATGCAACGCGGGCTTTTAATAACAATGACGTCAGCTGAAACTCGCCTCTAGACGGATTATTTGTTCATCGACACAGCAGATGCGTGCACAACCTGAGTGCAGAGAGCGCCGCTGTCTGTGCGCTGAACATGAAGCCGCAACACAAGCGCCGCCGTCAGAAACAAAACAGTTCATCGCCGTGTGACAAAACAAGTCACGAAGCCGAATCAACACGAGGGAGTGGGAGCGTTAAATGCAGGCGAGTGCGTAAACGACAAGAAGAAATGTGGCTCAATGAATATGATTTTCTGACAGACAAAATAGCGAAACAGGATCATGTCACGGGTTCATACGAACACTTCAAGACCAAAATATCGAGGCTCACAGCAGCAGCCACAGAGAGACGAGACACAATATTCCAATGTAAGTGAATGACTAAAACAAATTTTAAGGGCAATTTTGTTACAGAGATTTAATAATCCATTCTATTTATTGTTTTGGTTGAGCTTCGTTCAGTAATGGTTTATTCAGGTGCATTTTTTATTAACAAGTCCTTGCTTTAAGCCAGACTACATTAGGCTATTCTTCTGTGAACAAATCTATTTTATTTAGGCCTTTTGTTGTTTCTTGTCTTGCAGATCCTGTGTTAAAAGTTCTTCAGAAAGTAAAGTTTACTGATCTTTGAAAGGGTGTATTTGCATTTTTATTCCAATCTCACTATATTAATTGAAAATGGTCTCAAAATATCAATATTATCGTTTATCGTTATCAATTAATCGTCCAGCGAAATCTGTTATCGTTACAGGCCGAAACTCTACCTTATATTTATTCAACTGCAGTGGTTTTAGAGCTCAAAAATACAGAGAAAAACAGGCATTCTGACTGTGAGCGGGTTCGCCTCTCCACAGATCTGACCTGTAATTTGAAACATTCCAGACAAAGCAATAACATCTTCACGGAGACAAGTATTTGATGGATCCTCCACCAGAAAAGTTACACGATGCACCTTTGAGGAATCGTTCATGTTCACTTGTGCAAAATATTGACAGAAAGTACTTTTTTTTTTTTTTTTTCAATGACACTATAACGTTTCAAAATAAAAATTCTAAACTGAT